CTTTCCCTTTGTCTCTTATCTATCTAACTCCATAATGAGGTGAGTTTGCTCCAAATAATTGATGCCATCACCTCACCACTAGAGATAATTCAGTGCTTGAGTCTCCCAGGTATTGATATTAATATTGTATTCTTCAGACTGGCCTTTAGGGTATCCTCTAGTATCTCTTTTGCCCACATCTAGAGCAGTGACCATCAGTAATTTAGGAGTATACAGATGTGACCCGAGAAGGGTGTGGGGCTTGGGGCAAAGCAGCCCATGTGGGGCCTCACCCCTGCTCCAATCCTGCAGCTGAAGAAGCTGCCACCACCATTGGCAGTGGCAGCAGGGGGCAAGGAGGGGAAGTGAGCAGCTGGATGTGGAGCCCCCCCACTCAACCCGGCTCCACAGGGCCCCCCAAAGTGCAGGGCCCGGGATAGTCGCCTCAATTTGCCCCCCACACCCCACCCCGGACGGCCCTGGGAGTATAAGACCTATTTTAGGATCCAGTTCTCAGGCATCCTTATGACATGTCCTGTCCAACAGAGCAGTGCCATACAAACATAGCTTCAAAGCTGGTGGTGTTTGCTTAAGCCAGAATACTGGAGTTTGTTCTTCTGTCCTTCTAATTGATATGGAGGATTTTCTGAAGACATTGTTGAAGAAACATTTCAAAGCTTTCAGGCATTTCCAATATGTCACCAAGTTTCACATCCATACAACAGGATAGGGATGATGACAGGCTGTAGACAAGAAGTTTTGTTTCCCTTTTTTGAATATGGTAATAATTCTGGCATCTCTTAAGTCACTGGAAATCTGTTCATGTTTCCAGATTTGCATAATAACAATCTGCAGTTGGTGAGAGAGCTTTTTTCTACCATGTTTTTTTCTACCAGAGCTTTTTTATAAAAAATGTGGTTCCCAAAGAAGAGACAAAAATATCCCAATTAAAATATATATATATCTTAATGTTTGGGGGCTTAATTCATGATTTCTGAATTCTTGGGATTGACAATAGTGGGAGAATATGTCTAAGTTGCAGGGATCACTGCACCCCTCTCCTCTCCCTGGCATTTCTGACTAAACATAGATTTTTACCTGTCCAGGGTATATGAACAACTGGTGCCTCCCAAGACTGAGTGGGTACCATTTGTAGTTGGCAGCAAGCAGGGACCACCCACAGAAACTGGCGGCAAGTTTGGCAGTGGGGAAGGTGAGCAGCAAGCAGGGACTGCCTGCAGTTGCCAGCAGTGGTGTCGACGGTGAGGGGTGGGGGGGTTGGCAAGCGGCAACTGCCCGCAGATGTCGGCAGTGGTGGGGTGGGGGAGGGGCGTAGCGAATGGGGACCACCTGCAGACACCATCAGTGATGTTAGCAGTGAGGAGGGTGGAGGGTGGCGAGCGGTGACCGTCCACAGAAGCCGGTGGTGGCTTCAGTGGCAGGCGAACTCGGGGGGGGGGGGGGGGGACCCCGGGCCAGCCAATCTCGGGGGGGGGCACATGCCCCCCCAGGGCCCCCCTTACATGTTACCTATGCCAGGGTGAATCTGACAACTCTCCCTTCCTAAAGGGAGTATTAAGTATTATGGAATAAAAATACCCTGGAAGCATCTACACATGGTTTTAATGCACCTGAATAAACTCTGGTGCAGTTCATGCCAGAGTCAACTGCTCTCAGGTTCAGCGTCTTCATGTGTGCCAGAGACCACAAGAATTCAAGGCAGGACAGTCCCAGGTGCATGTGAAGACATACTGACCCAGAGCAGGGGGTCCAGAATCAGCCTCAGATTCTGGCTGGTGGCATTAGGCAGCAAGGGGGTGGCTAGCCAGCAGGCGGCACCCTCATGTCCCAGCTGGTCAGAGACCAAACACGTGTTTCAGTATGTGTAAGTATTCTGCTGTAGGATAGTACTTGTGTCAGGCAGTACTATGCTGCAGTGGAATTAGTTAGCTTACTGAGCCCTAATATGGGCACACATGTAAACTATGATGTTTTACTGTGAAGCTAAATTAGCCAACTCAACAGTAAAGTGCACATATAGATGTGCCCCCTTTGTAGCAACCATACAACCATGCTTACCGAGCCAGTTCATCTGGATTCAGCATCTGTGGCTCCTACCTTTGGGAGCTTGTGACCAGAGGTAAGTACACTGGATAGATACTATTCTTAAAACAAAGTGGTCTTTAATCTTAACAGCAGAAACAAAGCATTTAGAACAGGGGTGGGCAAAATGCAGCCCGCAGGGCAGATGTGGCCCGCCAGGCCATTCTATTTGGCCCGCAGGGCCCCTAAAAAAATTTAGAAAATTAATCCAGAAGTCTGGATAGGCATCTGGCTGGGGTCATCTGACCCCAGCACTCTTGCCTGCCTAGGCAGGGGGTCAGACTCAATGATCTGTTGAGGTCCCTTCCGACCCTAGCATCTATGCATCTATTTATCTGCCCCTGGCTGCCTGTCATGTGGCCCTCATTGGCTTGCCAAAACTCACTAAACGGCCCTCCACCCGAAATAATTGCCTGCCCCTGATTTAGAAGAAAAGGATAAACAAGCAGTCTATACAGATCAGTCTTATCTGGGGATGGCTAAGCCTTTATAAAACAGAGCAGGCCTAACTTCTTCTGAGTCACTGTCTATGTCTCAGTCCAGCTCCAATGAATCACTATTCTCCTCTCCTCAATAAGCATTCTTTGTAAAACAGCCAAAAAATGTTTGACCTCTGGTTTTCAGACTTTTCCTGTCCTGACTCCAACCAGTATTGTAGTCTAGCTGTCAAGCAGGCAAAAACTAAGAGTCCTACTATGTCCCTTCACAGTGTTCAAGCGTTCGCAGAGAAATGACTTACCATGAGCTATTTTTTATCCTTCTTACCCAAGAGGCTTTTTCAGGCAACCTCATCTTGATTTAAATCAACAGTGTCATACAGAGAGCACCACAAGAACTGGGCCACTATATATCATTCATACCTTGTTATAAGACAGTTCCCATCCATCTGCATGTTCAATTAATGTGCCTGAATTTTCTGCGCAGAAAATTCAAGTGCATTAAACTGTGCCACCACCTGCATCTGGAAGTGCTCCCAACAGGAGCAGTTCAGTCTAGGGCTGCTCCTGCCTTGCTCTGTCCCCCTGCAGCTTCCCCAGGTGCAGTCCCAGGCTGGCAGGGGGCTTGGGGGCTGGTCCCAATCTCTGCAGGGTTGGGGAGAGCTGTCCCAGCTGCCAGGCAGCTGGTTCCCAGCCACATCGAGATCGGGACCTTTCCCAATCTCCATGAGGCAAGAGAGCTGTCCCATCTTCCTGGCAGCTGCCTCCAAGTGATGTAGAGATCAGGACCTGTTCCAATATCCATGTGGCCCCCTGCTGCCTAGGCTGGCCAGAAGCAATTAGTTTAATGCATCAATTTCTAGTACCCATATCTACAGGTACTAGAAAATGGTGCATTAGACTAATCTATTGAACAGTAATTGCTGCGCATGTGTATACAGTGACACTTTACTGCACATTAGGATAGCCTAATGCACAGTAAAGCATCTCATGTAGATTGCCCAGTGAGTATATAATCACCCCACACTATAATTCAATCAGGCCAGCAGGACTAGCCTGATTGTAAGGAGATAAAGTTTTAATCATATCCAAGAGACAAACCTTCAACAGCTTCCAAGCAAACTATGTAGACTGCAAGTTCCTTGGAAAAAGAACCATATTTTCTTCCATTACAAAAGTGATGAGCTCACTGTTGGTCCTTCAAAGATGATTTGCAAAAGGAAAATAAAAAATTGGGGTAATGATCTTTTTCTTTTCCTGGCCTAGAAGGATTTTAGAAGAGGTTTTTTTTCCCCCCATCTTGTTAATTCGATCAGAAATTCAGGTCTTGCTTATCCCAAGGCCCTAGTCCAAAGCTCACTGTAATTTTTTCATTGACTTCAGTGGCTTTGGATCAGGCCATAAAATGATTGGAGAATTAAAAAAAAATGATAAGAAAGTGAACCCTGAGTGAGACAGGGGTGTTTATTTTGATATTAATGAATATTTACATCAAATTTCTGACAAAGAGTAGAGAGGAAATATCTTTTTGATAAATTTTACTCACACTCCATGACTTCAGTAAAGGACTGAGAATTCCCATGGCAGTTCCCTCTGTTCTTACCAAGAGACCCACAGCAGAAAAACGCAGGACAAGATTTGGTTTTCCTGATATTGCTAAAGATAGGGCTCCACTGCAGAGTTAACCCCAGCTTTGACTCAGGTACTGCCCCTAACTTAGCTTCCATCTGCACACAGAGCCATTTACTTGAGCGTGCAGGTGCTTTCAACTCAACGGTTCCCTCATTTGCGAATGTAAAGCTAAAACCTGAATAAGGGATCTACGTCTCCTAATCACTGTACAATAAAAATTCTAACTAAACCAGTGGTGCTCCAGCTTTCAGCTCTGTAGGCTGGATAAGTGGCACAGGACCAATCCAAAGGCTAGACTGGGCCCTGCATGCCAAGACAGAGCCCTGTGCTGCTTCCTCCCAGACCCATTAAGCCCCATGCCATTCTGTGCTGTCCCACCCTGCCCTGCTCATCCCACTCAGCCTGGTACTGCCTTGTGCCACCCAACTCAGTTCTGCACAGCCCTGACTTTCTCCAGTTCACCCTGTTCAGCTCTCCACTGCCCTGCACTACCCTAATTGACCCTGCACTACCCCATGCCACCCCAATTGGCCACACATGATCAAGCTAGCATGCAGAGGCATGCTATCTGGCCTGCAGGGCTCCCCTGGGTCCAAACATTTGACAGCAAGAGAGAAGCACTTACCTGCTTCTGCTCCCCACCCACTGCCAAATTTTTGAAGTACTGCCACTGCTCCCCACCCACTGCCAAATTTTTGAAGTTGTGGGGAGCCCCATGGGCTAGATAATATGAGTCTGCAGGCCAAATCAGGCTCACAGGCCAGGGATTAGCCCGGGGTGCTCAACCATTTGAATGCTGCTACACTTCCAATGCCTTTCCTACAATTCTCTCCTTCAGCCCAGGAAACACAAGTTCACCCACAATTCACTATGAAGGAATAAGTGTCACAACCAAATTAAGTAGTGCCCATGCCACAAGCAAGAAATATTAATCAAAACAGTTTTAGTCTGCACTAGGTTAACTAAGGGTTAACTAACAAGATGATAGTAACAGCTTTTTTTTTGTTGCGCATGTCAAAAAGAAATGTATTGCTGCGCCACTAACAGAGATAACATTTTTGCCTTCTTTGCTTTACATAAATCATTATAATTGGTCGGAATGACAGGGGAGTATCCCTGTTACAAACACCCTAATAAAAACCACTATATAATTGGCGATTCTAATAAAATTTATGACGTGGCGAAAAGCAATTGGCTATTATACAAATAAAACCCCAATGCACTTCCGCAAAGAGGAAGAAGAAGGGGGACCTCCGTACGCACCTGGGAGACCTCTGAACATACGTGTCAGAGTAACTGAAAATTTAATCACTTGCCAGTGCCCGCCCCCCCTGCGTCTCAACCCAATCTCAGACGTAAATCAACGACCTGCCGGCCCGACCATTTTTCTGCCCGACCATTTCTATCCGACCACTTATGCAGACCGATCTACGAACCCCAAGCTATAACTAACCAAATATCTCTGACCTCCGTCTTTCACCACCTTGACGGCGTGAGTAAATAATCTTGCTTTCAACCGATAAGCGTCTGTGCCTAATTCCACTCCAAGCGTCATAAATACCCGCCTGACGACCTCTAAGGTCTCGACTCCCCCTTGCTGCAGTGCACGGCAGTGACAAAGAGAAGCTCTGTTTGTTGTAGTGCAAAGGACTATAGAATACGCATTCAGAAATCCTAGTAGCAAACACAAGGACACAGTTTCTTTAGTGTGACTGATCCAAACTAGGCTAAATACAGTGCTCAAGAGTGAGTGCCAATAACCCAGCTTAATAATACCATGATGTCAAATTCTGTAAGAATGAACAAGACTCCTCAACTTCTTTAACAATAAAATCAACTTCCAGTCCTTTTTTTTTTTTTTTTAAATAAAGAAACAAAGAAGAGAATATAAATCTGTCTCTGTTTTAGAGAAACATATAATGCTTAATAAACAATGTTGATAATTTTTTTAATGCATCAGAAGGAAAAATGACACGAACTTGATTGCTAACACCACATCCTGCACTATTTCTTAAAACTCTTCCACTCAAGCATAGGCCCACCCTAACATTGATTACCTTGTAAACCTAACAAGATCACACTCTGCGGTTGCAAGGGGGAAAAAAAACAAACCTTTAACTGTTCACCCTCAAAGTAACAAATACAGATGTCCTGAAAAGGAACAAACAGGGTGATCTGATGTCTAAAGAACAAAACAGTACCTACTATCCAAAGGACAAAGTTAATATTTACCTGGAAGGGATAAGTTATAGAGAGGTACATCCCAGAGATTTTCTGAAAGTTGTGACATCCACTGACTATTTTCATGGCACATTTGAATTGATCTTTCCAAGGGGTCTTCCATTGGTTACTACAGTTGGTCCTAACAAGATTTTCTGAAAAAGATAATTAAAATATTTAGCATATTGTTGCTGGAGTCACTGTGCTCCTGTTGTATAGTATTCATTCATACCCATAAAAATGTTGGCTCTTCTCTACAGTAAAATGTCAAGGGCTTTTCAACCACCAAGTTCTTTGTTCTTGAAAATATTTCTTCCCAATACAACATTGATATTAACTGTTTTCATGGAACCTGCATTCATTCTTCTGTTGCAAAATGGTTCCTAATCTGGTTTTGACCTTGCAAAATACTGCTGTGTGAGATCCAGCTTTGTTGATGTGGAGAAACTGCCATTTATATCTCAGTATTGGGATATCATAAGGATTAGTCAGTTTAAAGTGGTTAATGATTACCACCCCCATCAATCACAGCATGCGCCTGCTCTCCTGTAACTCCTGCATCCTATCACCACATGTCTTAGGAATATGAAGAATCTGATCAAAGGGGAACAGACCTTGAAAATTCCACTTATGTTGCATTTTCTTCATGAATCTAAGAAACCAACAACACTTCACTTTCTCTCTTGGAACCAGGATTATCTTCTAGACCTCAGTTAAAGTCATCTCTGCAGGCACCTTTCTCTACCAGAAACCTTGGAAGCTTCCCCACTTTCAACATCACCCTGTTTTCACGGCCTATTATGATCCTCGGTGCAAGGCTACATTGGATGGACAGACTGGGACAATTATGCTAAACTTATTGACCAACATACAGTCTGCATCTCACAAGGTATCACTGTTTACCAAAGCAATCTTTAAAGCCACTGCCCCGTCTATCCTCCATGACTGCCAAAAACAATTATTCGTAGAGGTCTGTCCAACTCAAGGAGGCAGCCAGCCAGTTCTGCGGACAGATCATGGGGCTGGCCACCATTTTCATGGGCTGATTGTGGCAGGGCCCCCCCCATGCCTCTGATTGGCTGAGGGGACCCATCAGTTCTGCACTTCCCTGCAGATTGCCAGACGACCCAAAACTATGGATTAATTTCTTAATAATGTTTCCCTTAATGGTTTCCATGGGCTTAAATCAGGGGGTTAAGCCTGCCAAATCCATTAATTGACATGTCATTAAGTAATCTAAGCATTTAAATTCAACTCTAAACTGAAATGTCTTATGAAATTAAAGCTATACACAACATGAATTATAACTAATGCCATCACTATACACTTTATTAAAAGACATTGTAAAAAAGGAGTTTACCCAGTGCTAACCTTGAGACAGGCAATTCATGTTAGCAGTTAAATGCTAGCATGCTGCATCCAGTGGCACTAGCTGCAGATATTCTCTCTCTGTGGGGTGAGCACTTGTCCATACACTGAGATGGCATACTCAGAAGTCACTGAGTTTGTTGGAATGGTGAGGCAGTGTCTTGCCAGGGCACAGAGATGTGGAAACTGGCCACAGACAGTCCCAGAACACAGATACAGGCACAAGTATCTGGCACTCTTTAACAAAGTTCACGTAAGCAGTATGTTTGTTGTCATGCTCTTTCTTCCATCCAGGGATTGATTGCAGTAGCTGAGGGTCGCAAGTCAGAACATCAGTTGGAGTCCAAAATGCAAACAGCACTAAGGAAGGAAGCAGCCAGTCGTCTGAACCACAGGGGCAGTAATGAATCTTACCTGTAGTATTGGTTCAGCTTTACAGCTATTGTCTGGAACAGTTCCCATCTCCATTGGTTTTCACAAGGACAGCTTGACAGTTCTTGTGATACCCTGCCTTTGACCCAACTTATCAGCTTGTTGTGTGCATGGTGGATCACGGCCTTCAAACCACATTACGAGCTCCATGAACCAGGTGGCATTTTCAGCCACAAACATCACCTGATCTTGAATGTTGTTGTCCCATCTTAAGAGATTGTGCAGCTTCAGCATGCACTGTATGCTGGGTGTGATTTCCAGCTGCTTACTCACAAACTGCTGGTAGTGCTGCATATGTTTGGTGTGGTAATGGACCACATTGAACCACAAATTCCACCTGGTGAGCACAGGCTCTGGTGGCAGCAACACAGTGGCACATGAGTCCCCAATTTGACTGGCACAGGACTCCCTATATCGGACTTTACAGTTTGGATAGCCTTCAAACACTATCTTAAAGGAGGACACAAGGTTATCCACCTTGGGAATCTGTGTGCGCCAAATATCACTTACTAGAGATGGAATGTGCATGTTGCAGGTGATATGAACTGCTCTGGGCAGCATTTCTTGGAGCACATCAGAGAAAGCCTTGCACATGTATATGGCGTTGTCAGATGGGAATGCTGAAAGCTTGTTAAATTCTAAGCCATAGTTGGCAATTGACTTCACTGTGGCCTGAGACAGCAGAAAAATTAACAAATGCAAGATGGACCAGCTCTGTTTGAAACAGGTGGTCCCAGTCTGTCCAGCTCCCAGATGCAAATAAAGTGTGCAGCATGTAGTTATCTTGAGAGTCAGTGGCTTCATTGGCCACAATGGAGAAGGATTCATACTTTGCCAATTCAGACTTTGTGGACTGTACATACAAAGCAATCACTGCAGAGAGACAGTCTTGCTGAAGCTTGGCGAAGCACATGGAAAGCTGGCAGCATTTGGCACATGTTGGTTCAGGTAGTCCCTTAACTTTGGGTAATTAAGTTTCTCCAGCGAGATGTTCACTGCCACGTAAGACTCCACAAGGGAAAATGTCACCTCTCACTTTGCCAAGCTGTTTTCTGTGGTCCTTTTAAAGAGCAAGGACAGTCACTTTTTTCTTGCTCTGACCTTCAGCTTCTACAACAGCCCTCCTCTTCACGTGCACCTCAGACTCTAAGTGTCCATCTATACTGGTTTTCCTCAACACATCCAGAGTCACACTGCAGGCAGTACGGAACAGTCTGCCTCCATCTGCATACAAGGTCCCTGCAGGGTACTGCCTTACATGATCCAGAGCTGAAATGTATTTGGCCATCTTGGAGGATTTGGTCTCAGTGTTCATGCTCAATCCTCCTCAGGCTATAGCATGCTATAACAGCATGCCTGTGGCTGTTTAAAAGATGGTGCCAAAAGCCTCTCGCTTCCCTGCCTGGCTCCGGAGGCTCCCGTCAGGGACAAAGTGACTCCCCTCAGGACAAAGGGACTGAGCCTTTGTCACAAGCCGGTTTGCATGGCTTCCCACCCTTTTTTCTGCTTGCTGGTAAGTTGGGGTTTTTTTGCAGTGAAAAAAAATGCGAAATTGCAATTTCAGTAGGTCCCTAATTATTTGCCATGTCTAGATGGAAAATGTACAGAGCTCACTAAATGGTAAAAATGATTTAGTGACCCAGAAATAACCAATGACATTCTAGGGAGCCTAAATAAAGACCAAGAGAAGTGGACATGTCAAGTTACAGCAAGGAGGCATGATGCAAGAAGTTCAGTGCAGCACAAAGCTCACCAGACACACAACAATTGAAGCTCTCTCCAAATACAGTTGCCACATACCTGGCAGGCTTGCTAAAGCAGATAGAGATAATATGTTCAAGGAGTCAATCAAGGAGAGAATCAGCACAAGCAATCACCACACCTTGACCAAATCTAAAGTTTTAAACTAATTTAAGGAAGACACAGAAAAGGCACTGAGACTGATGAAAAGAAGGGAGGCTTCAGCTACTACAGTATTGCTAGAAGTCTTCCAATATCTCAGAGAGAAAAAAATAACACTGGCTGTCCATCTTAATGTACAATGTCATACAGAAGAACACGATGCTGAAGTGACAGCTATACCAAAACCACACAAAGATTATCTGTCCCCCCAATATTATTCCTGAGCTGTAGCTACAAGCTCCTAGAATAGACAATCCTACAGAGAATTGTGTCCATGGCAGAACAGCTTTTGAGTGATGTTTCAAGAGATTTCTGAACAATGCAAGGCACCTGTGACCAAATACTAGCACTCACTACATACAATGAGCATGGATATTAAGGGGAAAAGAAAACTAAAGATGTCCATGTTGACTGTATATAAACCCATTGCACATTGATCTACTGTAAAAGAGGTCAGGAGTTTGGTCTGCTGTGGTGATGAACTGAAGTAAGTATATTCAGGTAATTCTGAGTCACAAAACCAGCCCCTAGGGCCCCAAAAGAATGAACTCTTAAAAGGCTCAGTTCTAGTAGTGACTGTTTAATGCATTCCCTAATAACCTACTAAACTCCATCTCGACACACTTTGTGTAGTCTGACAGTATTTCCTTAGACTTATTAACTTTAATTTCCAAAATACAGGGCATGGCTACACATGTATTAACGTGCCACAATTACAGCACAATAAGTTTAGTGTCCATAATAACAGATACTAATTAAATGCACCATAATTGGTGCTACTACTCAGTAGTGCCAGCGCACCTTTTTTTTACGTGATGCTAATGCACTATAGATGAATTCTACTATGAATTAATGCATTAGCATGGCTTTCACCGTGATGCACTACTGTGCAGTAGAATTAGTCTACTGAGCTTCTAGCATCTTGTGTAGATGCACCCACTGAGAACCATCATCCATGACAACTTCCAGAAACTAAGTTCAAGACCATGTTGCCATGTTTGTTCTCATACCATGCTCAAAGCCAGCCTGATCACCATTTGATGCAACATCTGCAGCCACTGTATCTATGGGTAAGTCAATTCTACTCTCACAAATACCACCTCATTAAAGTAAGTGAGAAGATAAAAGTAGAAACTGTCTCCTGAACAAAGAACAGAAACTGTTTCCTCAATAAACTGATAGGCTCCCCATGGACAGTCAATGCACAAACACTTAACAGTTTGGGGCTATTCAGTTTATGAACAAGGTGTCCCCATTTGGTTAAATTCTAATTACAACAGTTTAGTGGAAATACAGTTGAATTAGACCATAAGAATGATCACAGACGCATTGAAGCCAACAAAATCTGTATGGTTACCAGTCCTAGCTAACATCCCTCCACTAACTATCTGGCACCAGAATGAAGCAACACGTATCACTGTTAAAGGGTATATGGGATTCATGATGGTGTAAT